TATATATATATATATATATATATATATATATATATATATATATATATATATATAATAATATATATATATATATATATATATATATACGTATATACATTTATATATGTATTTTTTGTGCTTTAGAATAGTGGTCAGGATTACAGGTCATGACATCTCCCTCTGTAGAAATGTACATAAACAATACTATACTGCAGCCTGGCCGCACATACCTGTCAACTAAGTGGACAGCGGCGAGCCTGTAATTCCAAGTCTGCAGCTTGTCCACTATCCGGTGTATTGAGTTGTTGTGTGTGTAGAGTTCCACTTGGCCCGGGCAGTCAAAGAGTATATATGATCCTGAATGGTATTAGCGAATGAACCAATAAATAGCCGCATGACGCAAGAGAGTACATATGATCCTGGATGTTACCAATAAATCCACCAATAAGCTACCGCATGATGCACATAGTGAGCGGACCCCGAACATTTTGTGATATGATCTAATGCGTGAGGACAGTGTTGGGTATCACACTATATTCCGTACCAGGGTTCGGTACTAGAGGTCGAGGTGGATAGTGCTGCAATAGCATGTGGGATGGGATTATGCAGAAGGCAAGAGAAGCAAGATTGTAGTATCTGCATATAGGATATACGCGTCACTTTCAAGCTCAGGTACTCGACGTTAGTACACACTAAAGCTCTGCACTGATCGATGCTGATACTCCCCCCTTCGATACTATCAGATATTGAGGTCTCCGTATGTTTTAAAACTTCTATGCGTACTTTGATTCGTGAGTGGGTTGCTCCTTTGCTTTAAAGCACGTGGCTCGTGGATTTAAATAGCACACACGGGTCTAAGCAACGAGACTATATCCTTTCGAAGGTGTCCCGATCAAGCCATAAATAGGTATGCCCGAGCGCCACAGGGACGTCCAGCAATACATCCACACGACGTCTAGCAATACATCCACTCGAATACTTTGATAGTATAGTCAGCACATGTGTATGCCCCTTCTTGAGCCCCACCCGAATGCACGATTGAGCAGTCACACAGCAGACGGGCATGCAGGCTGTTGCCATGGCAACAGTACCACTACAGCAAGCCTGAAGCCTGGTTATCAATGCCAAACATACGACAACCCCCACAGAACCAACACTCATTTTTACAACGACCCAAGTATCATCAGACCATACTATATGCATGTATCGAGGAGTATAACTTTTAATCCTATAGACGTTCATCAAATCGGGGATTTATATACCTTCGTGCGGCTTCAGCGCGTCTTTCAACCAATCCAGATTCTTCTCCAAGTATTCTATGCAGTGCACGAGACCTGGCGCATGTATAGAGCACAATTTGAAACAAGCAGCAAGTAGTTACAAGACGTGTATATGCATGATAACACACATATGAAACATGGCTATTATGTAAACCAGCCTCTGACGAGTGAAGCAGTACCCACCCCCATCGATACGACACTCTCAATAGCTGGATTGTACAGTTCGTCGATTTGCTATTTAAAACCATGCACAGTGCTAGCACACTACTTAAACTAATTGAGTGTTTAATAACAAACCACAATTGAATGTACTATCCCGGATGGCATGGGAAAACCCCCAGATTCAAAGTACAATGATGGCTGCTATTCATAAGTTATAGAGTTTTCCAACACTCTTTGGCCCAAGCATCTGGGGAGCTAGTATATCTAAGGTATACGGGTGATAAAGGTGGTTGCGTCGAACTACCTATAACTTGGTCCGAAGAAACCCACACTTGTCTAACATGTGATAGGAGACTACTGTCTGGTACATCGTACATACATATATGTATAAATAATCGATAATTGACCGTATTTATTCAATTTTGCTTCGCGATTAGTAGTGAAACAGGGTCCAATACATAGCGTGCATGAATAAACAAAAATACAGGTAACTCCCTATATATACATTTTCATTTACATATAATTGTAAACGAGGTGAATTCATAAACAATAACACAGGTATATGTATACATCAATGCATAAGCGTGTGTATGTGTCATTATTACGACAAACACTATATATATATATATATATATAT